CAGGGGCCGTCGTTTGACCACGTAATGTTCGGATAATTAAAGTCTCCTAACAGTAAGACTGGGACGTCAGGGAAACGGATTGTGACAGCATTTACGACGTCATGAAGGTCAGACACAAAGGTAGAACTTCTCGAAGGAGCACGATAGCAAACGCCCAAAACATATTTACGATGATTTAAACAAAAGCAAATCCACAGGATCTCCAGATTCGTGGCAACGTTTACAAGAAATGAAGAAACATTATCAGCCACAGCAATCATAACACCGCCGCCACTTTTATCAACTCTATCTTGCCGATAGATATTAAACTTTTTTTGACAGTGCAAAATTTCACTGTTACAAATCTTACTTGTCAGCCAAGTTTCTGTCAAAACAACAAAACTAGCATTTGATGAGTCAATTATTGAACAAAGGTCGTCCCGTTTATTGATGACACTCCTAATATTTGTAAAAAGAATCGAGAGTTGCGCAGTGGACGATGTCTGAATAGAGCCACCACCCCTCGCAACATGCTACAATGTAGGTGCTGCATGACTGGCATTTTGAGTTTGGTTATTTACAGCGATAGTGGGTGCAGACACGCCGCCACTGCGCAGGTCTGCTTGTCGTACACTATTAGTGAGCGGATCATAAAAGTAGCTTGTTTGGCCAATAAGAAGTTTGTTGTAGCGGAGTTTGAAGGTTGCATTTTGAGATGTTCCGAATTGAAGAAGTTTCTTTCTTGCCTGTCGTGTCGCCAGACAGAAATCCTCGTTCACTGTAGTCCCGGCGTTTTTCAGCGTCGAACGGAACGATAAAACCTTGTCTTTTAGTTTGTACGACGCAAATTTCACGATAACCGGTCTGCATCGGTCGTCCGAGAAATATCCCAATCTATGGGCGCGATCGATGCTCTCCGAGGTTATCTGGGGGTCAACTGTACGAGATAGAATTTCAATAATTTTACTTCCTGTCTGTGCCCACGTCTCCGACCTTGAATCCCCTGTTACCCCGTGAAAAATTAGGTTTTCGCGTCTCGACCGATCTTCGAAGTCATCCAAGCGACTTTGCAAAGACGCGTTGTCTTCTTGCACAGATTTGATTACTTCGCGTGCCTCAGTGAGTTCTTTCCGGATATCAGTTGTTACCGACTCAACAGAATCAATTCTTCGGCCAATTACTTCAATTTTACTTTCGATTAGTGTTTGGTTAGCTTTGATTTCGTGAACCGTCTGAATCAGGCTACACTGGCCCTCTTCTATCTTGACTGAGCGCGTCGAAAGATCCTGGAGAAGCTTCAGCATCTCAGCGAACTGTTTTGCCTGAGCATCCGTCATCGGGCCCGGGTTAAGTTCGACGTCCCCAGCCAACAGCAGTAATACATAGCGTACGGAGTAAGCACAGTCGGCAACAATACATAATAACAAGCCGGGGCACGGCAGCACTACAAGGCAAACGTAATTGCTCTTGAATTCGAAAAAACGCTTCTTACTAACCTGCATGACAACAAGGAAGTGGTTAGACGACATGTTGCGTGCGTTGCCGCCGTGCCCACTGATGGCCTGGGGGGGGGGGGGGGGGTGTCGTGATGTGGGGAAGGCAGGGTTAGCTTTGCCAAAAGTGCAAGCGTTGTTCCGCCCTGGGATAGGAGGAGGGGAAAAGATGGGACTTAGGTGAGTAGGGGGGAAGGGGGGGGGGGGAAGGCAAAATAAACCAGCAGCATTCATGTCTCAGTGAGCCAGTTAGCGAGTCCGGGCTGGGCTAGTGGCACTTAGCGGAAGAGCAGGAGGGCGTCATAGTTGCTCTGCTAGACCGGTCTCTCGTAGGAAACCCAGTAGGAGGGACTGTATGATCCGTCTTCTATGCCTGGGATCTTCAGGGAAAACTACGTCTGATGCTGTCATCGGTCGGATGTGTTGTGAGGATAGGGCGGAGAGAAACGTCCTTCGAGCTTCCTCGTGAAGAGGGCAGCCCCAGACTATGTGAACCTCGTCCTCTGTGACCGCACACCGCTGACAGAGCGGAGTGTCTCTGCGTCCAAACCGGTGGAGGAGCTTCCCTGTGTATGCGCTCCCTGTTCTAAGTCGGAAGAGCAGCGTCGCGTCGGACCGTTTTAACCCCTGGGTCAGGCAAGGTGGCCGCTTTGAGCTGCTCCAGGGGGAAATATCCGAGAAGAAAGCCTGGATGGCTTGCTGGTAGCGCTTGGGATTAGGAGGCGCCCTTAGTGTAGGAGAGAGGTCGTGGGCACGTAAGGCTATGCGGTCCACAATCTCGTTTCCGCGGAGGCCCACATGGGATGGGACCCACTGGAGCGAGATGGAGTGTCCATGTTCTTCAAGCTGGCGGACTACCCGTCTCACCTCGTTGGCAGTGGGGCATGGACCAGGTTTGCGTATGCGCTGAATTCCTCCACGTGAGTCCGTGAGGACAACGATTTGTTGTGGAGGCAGCGACTTCGTCGCAGTCAGGGCTTCTGCGATCGCCAGCAGCTCGGCGGTCGTGGACGACACCATGTGAGTAGTGCGGGCGCTCCAGTCTTTTTGTAAGTCCGGGATGTGGTAGGCTGCCGTGCTGCTTTGCCGAGACCTGTCCACCGAACCGTCCGTGTATATGTGTAGATGCCGAGGGTACCTTGCTGCTAGCTGTTCTTGTGCAGCTGCTTTGAGAACCAGAGGGGGCGTGTTGGCCTTCTTGCGGACGCCGGGTAGGAGTTCGGCTAACTGCAGGCCTGCCTCCCAAGGGGGTGTCCTGCCGTGCGGGTTGATTATCTGGGGGGGTTCCCATCCAAGTGCGGCAAGGGTCTTGGTGGCGAGGCTGAGTTTGGATTGAGTTCGGGTCCTGAGCCTCTTGATCAGGGACTGGCCAGGATGAGTCTCCCCTAGACGAATGACTTGCAGCAAAAGGCGTTGGGAGGCTTGGAGGTGCAAAGGAAGCGACCGGGCCTCCTCATACACCCTCTCGTTTTTGGCGCTTCTGGGAACGCCTAGCGATGTTCGCAGGCCCGCACGGTGTAGCCGTTCGAGTTTGTCGGCCTGACTGGGGAGGAGGTCCATGTATGGTAAGCTATACATGAGTCGGCTCACCACCAAAGAAGAATGAAGGGTCAGCATGGATCGGGGAGAGTTGCCCCAGTTCTGCCCTCCGACCCGGCGCACAGCGTTCCGGGAAGAGATGGTGGAAGCCGTGACGGCCTTTATCTGGTCGTGCCACTTGCAGCGGTTCTGAAGAGTAATGCCGAGGAAGCGGTGCTTTGATACAAGGCGCAGGGGCTGCGAGTCCAGTTGGAGCTTGACCTCCCGCAACCGGCGGTTCCTTCCTGGGAAGACCATGGCTGCTGCCTTGTGACCGGAAATTGAAAGACCTTGGTTCTCGAGGAAGGCCTGGATCTTGTTTATGGCGGATTGCATTATGGCTCTCAAGGTTGGGTGTCGGAAGCCAGAGACCCAGATGCATAAGTCGTCCGCGTACATAGAAATGCCAATCGGGATCCTTGAGTTGGGAAGAGCGGCTGGGAGGCCCGCAATGGCGATGTTAAAGAGTAGAGGCGACAGGACGCTGCCCTGGGGTAGACCGCGTTGCACCGGTCTTGACTGGCTGAGTGTGTTGCTCAGTTTGACTTGGATTGATCTGTCCGAAAGAAAACCCTCGAGGAAGCCCTGAACTCTTCCCGTGATACCCCAAGAGGTTAGTTGGGCCAGGACTGATGCCGGTTCCACATTGTCGAATGCAGCCTGAATATCGAAGAATGCCGCCACGGTAGACTTACGGCTAGCTGCTGCATGCTGCACTGCACTGACAATGTCCAGGATACTGTCTTGTGCGGAGAGACGGGACCTGAACCCAGTTATATTTGACGGGAGTAGGTTGTGTTCCTCCAGCCACCAGATCAAGCGGGCGTGTACCAGCCGCTCGAAGAGCTTGGCAACGCATGAGGTGAGGGACACCGGCCGGTAGGACGATAAGTCTCCTGCTGGTTTGCCACTCTTGAGTACAGGGACCACCCATGCCAGTCGCCAAACCGCTGGAGATTCTGATGAGGCCCAGATATCATTGAACGACGAAAGAAGTTCATGTAAACGTGAATCTGGCAGGTTCTGTAACATTTGCGTCGTGACCCCGTCTGGTCCCGGTGCCCCTCGTCTCTTCGAGGCTCTCAGTGCGGATCTCAGTTCGGATTCCGTAAAAGGGGCATCCATGCAGAAAGGTGTTTTATCCGCATGGCAGCGCGGCTTTGGCTGGGAAACGGCCGCGGCATAGAGAGTAGCAAAGTCTTCGGCCAGGGCCGCTTGTAGCTTTCCCGTGCATAGGGCCAGAGAAGCGAATGGGAGGCTGTACATTCTTTTCCCGGACAGACTGTCCATAAGCCTCCAGATACGCCGGGCTGGTGTGGTTGCATCCACCGAAGAGCAGATCAAATCCCACTGCCGCTTGAAGCATTTTTTGGCATAGCGTCGTAGGGCAGCGTCAATCCTGTTAAAGAGGGTCTTAAAGGTCACGCCACCCTTACGTTGCAGAAGTCTCTGGGCCCTCCGTCTTGCTGCACACAGGTTTAGAAGGGTCAGGTCGGGTGCAGGGAAGGATGTAGGTACGGATGCCTTGATTGTGGCTTCTTTCGCCGCGTCGCTGATGGCCTCCAGGAGGGGTCGTGTAGATCGCCCTAGGTTGTCTCGGAACCGGTCCCAGTGAATAACGGAGATCTCGTGGACCCCAGGACGTTGTAGGCCTATGATGTCGATGAAGACTGGGAAGTGATCACTGCCCATGGTGTCGGCTGCAACCCGCCAAGACAGTGGGATCTCCGGTGAATGGGCTGTGACGTCGATGGCACTGAAAGTGCAGGGTGGCCGGAAAAATGTCGGGGAGCCGTCGTTGGCCACAACAAGGTTGTGTTCTCCAAACTGTTCTGCCAGCATCCTGCCCCTTGCATCTTCTCTGGTGTCACCCCATAGAGCATGATGAGCGTTCCAGTCCCCACAGATCACAACCGGATCGGTGACCCTGGTGCGCAGGGAATCCACCAAGCCGGCGACCTCCACAGCGCCCCCTCCTGGGCGGACATAAATTGAGATAATAGTGAGGCGCCGCCCGGCGATCTCAGCACGCACCGCAACGAGGTCCCGGTTAACAGTGCAGAGGTCAGAGACATCCACGACATGGTGAGGGATAGCTTTTTGGATATAAATTGCAGCGCTGCCGTTTGGAAAGCTTGGTATGGACGGGTTTTTATAAGCAAAATACCCAGGGATGCTGCGATTTCCTGGGAGACCAGCTTCGCAAAGAGCTAAAATGGGTATCTTCCATTGTTGAAGGTAGAGGGACAACTCTGCCAGTCTGGTCAGCAGACCTGCACAGTTCCACTGTAGAGCCACAGGGGTCTGTCGTCGCCCTCTAGCAGGGGACTGATGCACTGAGGGAGGCATCAGCGGGGCTAAGGGTACCGCTGTCAGTCGAGCTTCAGAGCAGCGCCCCTATGATGCCCTCGAGCGCTAGGACGGCTTCCAGGAACTTACGGAACGAGGATGTTGGCAGGATGTGGATTAGGTCACGCACGGCGCCAAAGATCATGGTTACAATGGACTTGAAGGGATGCGGCGAGAAGGGGGCGGCGGCTTCGGTGTGGCCTGAAGATGGCGGCACAGGTGCGCCTTGTCGAGAAGCTCGGGTGTCGCGGCCTTTGGATGGTTTCGAGCTTTTGACAGTTTCTGCCCAGGTCTGTTTTACCGTGGTGCTGGAGGCTGAGAGGCTGGTGCCGGGAGTGGCATCGGTTTCTTGGCAGGTAGGGGATGATACCGCCGGTGCATGAGTGTCAGTCGGGGAAGGACGCGCGTCTTGGGGTACATTCTTGTCTGAGGGGGTGCTACCCTGCTCACTGCGTGAATTCTTGTCTGACTTGGCTGACGAGGAGTTGCGGAGTGCTTCGCGAGCATCCCGGAACGTTGCGTTGTTTTCTGAGCGGTAACGCGAGATGGCGACCTCTCGACGTCGGGTTGGGCAGGACGAGGACGTGGCCTCATGGCTCTGACGACAGTTGATGCACTTTGGTTCGGGTGATTCGCACCCGCCGTCGTGTGAGGCGCCGCATCGTGCGCATGCCTGGGGACGATTGCAGACCGCGGATATATGGCCGTAACGGAGGCACCGCCGACACTGCAGGGCTTTTACCTTGAAAGGCAGGACCGGAGTTCGAACTAGTCCGTAGAGGAGGGAGTCGGGCCGCGTCTTCCCGAGGAAGACAATCTTCACGAGTTTAGACTTCTCCCCAAGTCGCCGCACGTCCCAGATCTTGACTGGAGCCCGTATCTGGTTCCGGATGTCAGCGTCAGAAAGGCCGAGTTCCACGTCCCTGATAAGCCCGATGCAGGTGTTCGGGGGACTGGGGAGGAATGCTCGGACAGGAGTGGTGCAGAGTACCTTGAGGTCCAGGAGTACTCCTTTGAGCTTGGGTGTCCGTGCTTCGACCGCGATTAAGTTCCTTGCCTTGTTGACGCGGACTTCTTTGACGGCACCTGGCGCAGCACATTCGACGTATTCTGTAAGCTTGGATGGACTGAGCGACGCAACCGAGTCGGAGTTGGTGGGGGCGAACAAGACGGTGAACCCCTCTTCAAGTAGCCTGTGGCTAGTAGTCCCGGACGTGCCCGAGCCGCCACTTTTCCGTCGGCGCTTTTTGCCTCGCGATTCGGTCCAGTCTTGGGACCCTTCAGAGTCGTCCATATCGGAGATGCCTTCCTTGAAGATAGAGTCGTCCTCCGAAGATTCGGCTACCTCATGAGCTTGTCGGGGAGACGGACGAGTCCCCGACGGCACGTGCTCCGGCTCCAGGTGGTAGGTGGGCCTGTCAACTTGGGATGAAGGTTGGCCAGCAGACATTCCGTCGTCGGCAAGGGGCTGAGGTTGGCTCTGCACGAGCCCCCCGCGGCGCTTGCTTGCGGTAGACCGGGCCACCGGGCGATGTTCGGCGTCTCCCAGAAGGCCCCAGAAAAAAAGGCTGAAGTTCACCGCTCGTACTGGCGAGGTTTTCGGCGTTAGATGTGACAGCAGGAACAACACAGCGTGCTTCGAGACGACAGCGGACGCAGCTCAGCGGCAACCGTCCACTTCGGACGCCGAAGAAAGAATCCACTGATGGCCTGAGGGTAGGCTGTGGCTCTTATAGTCGATGGCCCTTGTGTCGATGACGTAACGAAGCCGAAGATCACGTGGTCCAGTTGCCCAAGGTGACACGCTGCTTCGTCCGCTTCTGTTCCCGATGTCTCTGGTGATGGTGCAGTTGAATCGAGAGTACGCCCGCCGGCAATCAGCAAGAGCTGCATGACAACAAGGAAGTGGTTAGACGACATGTTGCGTGCGTTGCCGCCGTGCCCACTCTTCGGTACCCACATATCGGTGGGTACCGAAGAAAACCTCAGCGAGCAATTTCTCGATTTTTTTTAAGAATCGACTGATAACCTCGCACGAAAAAATGCGCATTGCTCATAAAACCGAGGCATCCGCGTCGGTCTGTTGCAGCATTTTTTTTTTCATAAAGAATATGGGTGTGCGAATAAACGAAATTTATTTCGCGTTTATGATGTTTCACTATTTCTCAGAAACCGCGCGTGGCACGTTGTTTCCGGTGACTCGTCATCGAGCACTACGGGTCTTCTGTGCATGAAATGTTTTAACTTTAATTTCGCCCTTGCGATACGCAGAGCGATAATCAATGACAGCGCTGAAGAGATATCGCTGGAAACAACGTGCGAGTGACAGTGCTTTTTGTATCGAATGTGACGGCGCTTATAGCGCGCCACCGGCGAAACGCGGAACTCCCAGACGCGCCGCGCGATGGTCGAGCTCATCTTAGTAGGCCCCGCACTCTCGAACCCCGGTGCATTTTCATTAGTTCTCAGGGGCCCTCCAGGCGGAGCAGCCTGTATCAGCGGCCACGCGTTCCGGCGTTCGGGTTTCATTTCGTGCTGATTGTACCTGCACTTCCTGCACCGGTTAAGAAACGTGTAGGGCGGTGTACTTCCGGGCGTATTGTAAAATAATTTGTTAAAATAGTTTGTAGTTGGGCGAGCTGGTGAACGTTTGGATACATAGTTTTGCGAAAAAAAAAGACGGAAACAAGAGAGAGAACCAAACACGAGCGCAACTTACAGCCGTATTTAGGAAACCTTTTGAAAACATACAGATATATCGTCAACTTCAATGCGTCGACGCATGCGTCGTGTCACTATACACGCTCGTCACAGAAACTTATCAAGGAAGAGTTTCTTAGCATTATACAAACTTATCGAGGTGTCGCACACACATAGGTCGCCTTTCTTTTTGATAAAGAAGGCTTCCAACAGCTCACGTGCCCTTTGTCCCTTTATTCCGCCCAAAATTGCAGCGTCAGAAAAACGTGGCTCACACTTACAGTTTCTGCAGTGTGCAGATAAATGTGCCCCGTCATTAGTCTTTAAATTTTGAACATGTCACTGAGACGGTCGTATCTCAATACGTCTACCGGAAGTACACTTTTCTACGCCGGTGCAGAAGGTGCAGGTAAACCGAGCGCAGCCACTGTCTGTCGACTGTTTTTTTTTTTTTCTGTGCGATGTATTAGGAGCATGACCGAAGTTTTTATATTGGTTTTTCCTTCAATTTTCATTAATGTTTGCTTGTTACCCTATCTTGGACGAAATTGAGAGATTACCGCATGAGTGTGTCCGACCGAACTCCGTGGTCGTGTTGTTATCCTAAACTGTTAAGGATGCATATTAAGGAAGGCCAGTGTACCATAAATAATGGAATCATTCCTCCCCCCCTCCCCCCTCTCCAAATCTTTCATATATTTTCCTCGTACGATCCCGTGGCACGAAGAAAATAAAACTGAGGTTCACCCCAGGGATACATTTTTGTTGAAGCCAAACGTGATTTCGGGGTAACTCTTTCCCGCTTTTTAAGAACAGCTAGTATGGTGCATACGTTTTTCAGCTTGATGGCCTCACTTACGAGTCTGCTGAGTTTAAGGGATTAACCCGCATTAATTGTCAAAGTTTCTTTTACATCTCTTAAGGTTTTTGCAAAATCAGAGCATGGAATGACGATTGCGTTCAAGACTCAAAAGTGGATTGTGTGCTGTGCTTTAGGTAAATGCAAAACGTTTTTTTTTTTTCTTCTTTTTGTTCTTTTACGTGCCAGCTGCAAACGCGCACATGTACGTCATGGGGCACAACTTTGCATCCCTTGACGTCTTGGGAAGAGATGGATGAAATAATTTAACTATGTTCGTGATTATCTGTATACCGTTATAGACTTATGAAGCTAAATAAAACGAATACTTTCGAATCTGTAGGACACGCAGATGGGTTTGTGTCCATAACTGTTGTATTTAAGTAAAATGTTTTAATGAAACCGAATACTTCTATGGAGAAAAATAACGAATCGAGCAACCTGGCCTTCTTCGCTTGTTCGGTTGTCAATTGCAAACGTGTTATCATTTGGTCTATGTTATTTTACAAAAAGAGAATTGTTATCGTGGCATTGACTGAATGATGAAGGATACGACGAAAAATTAGCAGGCGTTCTCCCAACATAATTGGTCTGGATATGGTATCCTGTACTATTTAGTTTTAATGACACCATTGAGGATGCCTTTGTTTACTTGTTACTAACTCATCACGGTAAATGGTAAAGCGTCTTATGTAATTCAAGCTGGTGCGCGAGCAGAAACTGCGGGAGAGGAGAAGATGAGAGCGTGAGATGACGTTAGAGCGACGACCTGTGCCGTCACTGCGCACTCTCATGTCCTCCTCTTCTACAGTTTCTGCCCGTATTGCTTCCACACCGGAAGTCAGCAAATACCACCCATTGAGCAAGAATGGCCGTGAGGTTTACAACAGCTGTAAACTCACCCCGATGCTGGCAACATTGAGAAACGGCTTCGTGCGGCGAAAGAATTCGGCTTGTCTGGAATGGTCGCCATCACTGCGCGCTCTTAGATTAGAATTCGAGCCGTGCTCGACAACATATCGACCGGAGCTTTATTACCCCGACTATACGACCGAGACAAAAGGGGCGGCGGGGACAATTTGGGCTAGCTCGTTTCAGGAGACGACATGCAAACGGTTCGCAGTCAACATTCAAACGGGGTCCTAACTTTGGGGGAAAGCGTCCTCTGAGGCAATCCAAATGTACGCGCATGGCTCGGGAAATATGCTGTTACAGCATAAACTTATTATGGAGATGCATTTGTTGTATCAGCGGAGAGACTCTAGTGTCATTACAGTGGGATGTGATGGTGTCTGAGTATAGCTTTGATGGTCGCTGGTGGTGTTGTGCAAGGGCATAGTAACCAAAAAGCCTTGAATACGCACGTTTTCTGCTAGAGTTACTATCATGTATTGCAGAGGAAATCGAGCTGTAGGGGTGAACTTTTTTGCTTATTTTTCTACACAATTTACTGTTCATGGAGATAAGAAACTCTGAGATCAGGTACGTTTCAGTTAGAAACAAATACAAAATGCAATTCGGTGAATACAAAGCGCAATGTAGACGATTTTTAAGACAAGGGTTTGAAGGTGAGATATTTTAGTGCTTATGTTGGTACCCGAAAAAGCTTTTGCTACATCATGTGCTTTTGCACTAGGTTATAGGTTATTGCTTTGTGATAACTGTGTTCAGCATTCTAAATCACTTCAGAACATAGGTGCTGCGAGTGCATTCGCGTAGATAAATCAGTGCATAGAATGCACGAAGTCATGCTTAACCAGCGCAGCTTCCTACACTTCGTATGCCTCTAATCGTCCTCTCTTGTTCCTTGATCATAAGCAAAAACATAAAAAGGTATTTACTTGCAAAACAAAAAGGTATTTACTTGCAAAACAAAAAGGTATTTACTTGCAAAACAAAAATTATTCTGATCGCGTGAACCTCTAAAGAATAAATTTCTACTTTTTGCTTTATTTTAAGTTTTACAAGTACTTCTTTTTTTTTTTTTATCTAACTCAATAGCAGTCACTACAACTCATGAACATACATGCCTTCTCTAATTAACGCATTGCATTGAATTTATGCCTTCCTGTGACTTCAAAGCAATTTTGCGTGGAACCTAATTTAATAAATATTTCCAATTAGTTAGAAATACATCATTTGGTGCAACCAACTCCCAGCGTTTTTCGGGCGCTGGTAGTTGGTTTTTCTGGCGGCAAGCTATAGCTTGCCCTACGCAGAAATACACTAACTTCACTCTTTAGAGCGCTATTTCTAATTTATAGATGCCAATATCAATACTAGTGAAAGCAAACAGGCGCAATAAAAATGCTTGTAAAGCAGCGAATACGCCCGACGAGCTACAATCTAAAAGTAACAAGATCTCTCGTCTTGGACAGACACCAGCGAGGGGCTGTTGGCATCGACGTGTTCGCTAATGGTTTTCTGTGAGCACGAAGAACCAAGTTGTTTGTTTTTCTCCTGGCCAAGTCCCGAAATCCTTCACCAGCCGGAACGAAGCAATAAAGAAATATCGGGGAAAATCCATAAATAAACACAAATTTCAGATTACGGGAATATAAGAAAGCGAGTAACTTCAGTCGCGTGTTTGGAGAAAGCAAATACCTTTAATCAGTCCAGCGATGATTTGGGAAAGGGTTGAACGGCTGCTGCGGGCCTTTTTTTTTTTTTATTGGCAACACTTGAGTCTCGCTTCACGGGTGATTTCTTTTTTTAATTGGTGGTAATGTGCGCGTTGTGACTACTGTGCATTAATCAATTTTGGCATGTGCTAGCAGCAGTTCTTCAGCAAAGCAAGCTATGAGCAGCAATGCTGCTTGCAGACCATCGTGCGAACGTGAACTAAAGTGCATTTCTTTCCTCTGTTATAAGTGAAAACTTTTGTAGCCGAACACGGGGCCGTTCGTAAACGTCCGCTCACAAACATCTTACAAGTGCTTCAACAACGAATTACGTAAATGCTAAAATGGGCTTTATTTATTTC